TAAGAATGCACAACCCCCGCACCGCCACCCCTGAGAGCGGGACTCCCGCGCACCCCTCAACCCCCTCCATCCCTTCAGCTCCTCCCGACCCCCTCAGCCCCCTCAAACCCCCCTCACACACCCCCCCTCCCCGCCCCTCAGCCCCGCCGCCCCCGCCGCGGCCCGGGCGCGGGCCCCGCAGGCCCGGGAAGGCGGGCGCAGCCGCTGCCCGCGGCGTTGCGGGGCCGTGCGGTGTCGGGAACCGGTGCGGGGTCCCCCGGGGGGGGCGGTGTCGGGGCCGGGGCCGCGCTCGGGCCGGGGGGTCTCACGCACCATCTTCGCCGCCGCCGCCGCCGGGAGGAGCCGCCCGGGCCCGCCCACTGCCGCCGCCCGCCCGCCCCGCGCGCCCCCATTGGCCCGCGCCGCAGCGCCGCGCGCTCCCATTGGAGGGCGCGCCCGTCAATCAGGGCGCGTCGCAGCCGGGCCCAGGCAGGAAGCGGCAGCGCGGAAGGGCGGGGGGGGCAGCGGGACGGACCCGGATGTGGCGCCGCGGGGCGCGATGGGAGATGGAGTTCCATGGGGGGTTCGTTCACCCCCTAATGAGAATCGCTAATGAGAATCGCTAATGAGAATCGCATAGTCGACCGGGTCGGAAAAGGCCTCCGAGATCACCCAGTCCAACCCATGACCCAACACCACCAGGTGCCACATCCAGGCTCTCCTCAAACCCCCCCAGGGACGGTGACTCCACCACCTCCCAGGGCAGCCCATTCCAAGGGCTGATCCCAAGAACTCCTTCCTAATGCCCAACCTAATCCCATCCCCACCCCAGAGCTGCTGCTGAGAGCCAGGACTCCAAGCCTGGAGTGCCACAAGGGGCCGGAGCACAAAGGGGCAGAGGTGCAGCGTGATCTAAATCCAAACTCCCTTCCTAATTCCAGTCCCTCTGAATCCTTCCATCCTTCCACAGCATCCTTCCCCATGTTCCCTCTCCCCGTTAAGTTTTCCACCACGATTCCTGCAGGGAGCCGAGGAGAGGGGCTCAACCCCACTGTGGGTGTTTATCCCGGGACAACCACGCACAGAAAACAGCCACAGCTTACAGCTCGAGAAGCAATTTAAACACACACTTTAAGAAGCAATTTTAATTCACAATTTAAGGCCCGGGGACAACGCCCGGGCTCAGCCGGGCCATCTCAAATTCCCAGCAGGAATCCCTCAGTGGCTCAGGGACTTCCTGCCCTTGAGCATCCTCCGCAGGATGATAGCGATGCCGCCGCGGGTGCTGATCCTGCGGGTCCAGCCGTGCGTCTTCTTGCGCTTCCAGTTGTTGGGCTGGTACTCGTTGCCTCGGGCTTTGCCGCGGAGCTGCTGGAAGGTCCAGGGAGCCCCCGGCGGACAGCAGAGGGCGGGGGGGCGGCCGGGCAGGAGCTCCGGGCGGTTCGCGAGGAGCGGGAAGGGGCGCTGGAGCAGGGAAAAACTGGAGGGGAAAGGGAGGGAAATAAAAGAGTGACGGTCAGGGTTAGGGAGCTGCAGAGAGACAGAAGGTCCCCCCCGAGCCTCCTCTTCTCCAGGCTGAGCCCCCCCACCACCCCAGCTCCCTCAGCAGCTCCTGCTGCTCCAGACCCCTCTCCAGCTCGCCCAGCCCCTCCCCATCAGCTTTAACCCCCCACACCGCCCCAGCCCGCTCTCCCATCGCTGTCCTGCCGCTCTCCCGGGGGTTTCACCCCCAGTTCTCTCCCCACAGGCAGCGGCACCGCCGGTACCTGCGGCCCCACACCGGGCCCAGCGCCGCCATCGCGCCCGGCAACAACGCCGCTGCCCATTGGCTCCTCCTGCCGGCCAATCGCAGCAGCCGCTTCGCCGCAAGGGCTGATGGGCGTTGTAGTCCCCGGGAGCTCGCCCCACTGTTTCCATGGCAACGGCCCCACCGCGGCCTGGTCGCCACGGGGGCACATCGGTCCCCTGATTGTCCCCCCTGCTTGTCCCCAGCGCTGTCATGATGTGCAGCGCGATACACAAGCACCGAGGAGACCCTTACAGTGCCTAAAGGGGCTCCAGGAGAGCTGGAGAGGAACTGGGGACAAGGAGGGACAGCACACAGGGAATGGCTTCCCACTGGCAGAGGGCAGGGTTGGATGGGATATTTGGAAGGAATTCTTGGCTGGGAGGGTGGGGAGGCCCTGGCACAGGTTGTCCGGAGAGCTGTGGCTGCCCCATCCCTGGGAGTGTCCAAGGCCGAGTTGGAGCAACCTGGGCTGGTGGAAGGTGTCCCTGTCCATGGCAGGGGTTGGAACTGGATGGGCTTTAAGGTTCCTTCTGACCCAAACCATTCTGGGATTCTGTGATTGCTTTTCTGAACCGATCCCAGCTGTATCCCAAGAGCAGGCACAGCTCTGGGATTTTCCCCTGCTGAATTTTGTGTTCCAGTAGAAATCAACCCGTCGGAGTGAGGGGATGCAACTCAGCCACCCCAAAATGTGAAAACACACCAAAAACCATCCCTGATCTCATGTGTGTGCTCCTCTCCCAGCCCAGGGGGGTTTTGGTGCTCAGACACCAGTGCTGAGCCCCTGACACACTCATGGCCCTGCCGTGCCCATGGCACTGCCACACTCGTGGCCTCTGGGAAGCCACAACCACCAGAATGTTCGGAAAAGCAGCTAAAAAGAGACCTCTGTCCCTCATCCCACTGGAAGAGCCAAACCCCTGGCCCTCCCATCCCTGTCCGACCCCCCATCCTTGTCTGGCCCCCCATCCCTGTCCCCCCACCCCTGTCCCCCCATCCCTGTCCCCCCATCCCTGCCGGTCCCCCCCGGGCGGGCGCGGGGCTGTGCCGGGCACGGCTGTGAGTGGCAGATCCCCGTGTCCATCACACGCAGATCCCTCCTCCTTAGGAGGGATTTCAGGGGCTTTCCATGGCTACAGCCTCCAAGGACAAACAGCCCCCCTAAGCCCCCGAGCCCCGGCCATGAAGCTGCCGGTGGGGAAAAGATGGAAGGAGAGGCTTTGGTGGGCAGCAGGTGAGCAGAGCTGAAGGAATCGCCCCATCCCGCCCTCCAGACAGCCCCCCAAAAAATTGGATTTAGAGGGTTTGGAGGAGCTGCACAGCCGAGCAGCGCTGGCATCCCGCTCCCACCGCCTCGGGCATCGCCTCCTCTCCCCCTCCTCCGGCCTCCTGCGGGATTTAAACCTTTTATTCGCCGCCTCGACCTCTGACAACCCTCGGCAATAAATGAGGTGAGCGGCCCCTTGTCCCTCTCTGTGGTGATGGAGGGCACGTCCTGATGGGGAGGGGGGAAGGAAGGGGCTCTGCAGGGGGAGGGGGAGCAAAATGGCCAAAAAATGTGGGGTTTTTTTTCCAACGGGAAGGGACCTGAGAGGCTCTTGGGTTACAGGGAGCTGGCAGCTCCGCTGGATTGCGGGGAGAGAGAGGAGCCACAGCATCTCCCGTGCTTCAATAACCTGGCTCTGTTCGGCACGGCTGGAGCGGGGGGTTATCCTGGCAATCCAACTCAAGGAAGGGCTCCCTCCGTGATGCAACGGCACTGAAGGATTGCTGGCTCTGCCCCAGGCCCCGCTGGTGCTGCGTGCGTGTCCAACCTGCCCGGAATTTCGGCTGGGGAGCCAGGGGGCACCTGCCTCCAGCGCCTCCTTCCCGAGCCTCCTTCCATGGTTCCTCCCAGCCTGCCGCCCGAGGGATCCAGCCGGCTCCGCTGCGGCTCTGCGGCGGGAGCTGGAACCATCTCTGCAAATCCCGGCGGGATTTAGGTGGCACGGCAGGTCAGGCACGGGTTACTCTGCTGTGCGGAATCTTTTGTGTCTCAAGGTCTTCGTCCTTCCCAAAGAGAGCGGGGGGAGGAGGCCGGTGCTGTGCCTTAGGGATGTGCCCTTTCCCTGCTCCCCTTTCCCTTCCCTTTGCCTTACAGATATTCCCCTTTTCCTACCCTGTTCCTTATGGATGTTCCCATTTCCCTGATGGATGCTCCCCTTTCCCTGCTCCCCTCTCCCTCCCTGTGCCTCATGGACACTCTCCCTTCCCTCACAAGCCATTCCTTGGCTGAACACAGTTTATCCACATCCCACGGGATCCTCGGTGCAGTTCCAGGACGAGTCCATCCCAGTCCATCCCCCTCTCCAGCTGCATCCCCGAGGATTTCAGGGCTGGCTCCATGGCTGGCTGTTTGTCCCCCTGCTAAACCCTTCCTGACCCCTCACCCCTGACAACACTCCTATAATTATATCCGGACAGGGAAGCCAGGCCTGGAAGAACAAATCCAGCTGAAGTGGGTTTTCCCATTTTTTCCAGGGGGAGTTTTACTTTCCAGGACTGAGATTAGGCAGCCCAAGGATTCTTCTTGCATTTCTCTGCGCTTGGTGCTTGAAAAAAACCTGCTCTGATGTGTTTGGTGCTGCAGATTCCA